TATTTATATATTTATATATTTATATATTTATATATTTATATATTTATATATTTTATATTTACATATTTATATTTATATATTTTATATTTACATATTTATATATTTATATATTTTATATTTATATATTTATATATTTACACGAATTAATATAAGTATAATTTAGTTGTAAATTATTATTAGAATATCCTAATAGTTTAGTGGTTGAAGTATCAGCTTTTAATTTTAAGGTATCGGGTTCGATTCTCGCTAGTGACAATTTTTTTAGTTTAATATAATTTATCTACAGATAGTAATTCCGTAGGTAATTACCTACTGAATTACCCACGGATGATATTACCTACGGAAAATATCCGTAGGTAATGGATAATTACTCATGGATAGAATTTCGTAGGTAATATCCGTAGGTAATGTACACGGAATTATCCACGGATTACATTACCTACAAATAATATCCGTAGGTAATGGATAATTACCTACGGATAGAATTCCGTAGGTAATATCCGTAGGTAATGTACAATTTACCTACGGATTTTCATCCGTGGGTAATATCCGTAGGTAATGTAAAATTTACCTACGGATTTTTATCCGTGGGTAATATCCGTAGGTAATGTAAAATTTACCTACGGATTTGTATCCGTAGGTAATATTCCGTAGGTAATTGGCTTTTTTTTTGTAGTGTTAACAATATAACAATGTTGATTGACGAGAGATTTTTTTTATTCAATGTCTTGTTGGCTGGATAACGTCATCAGTAGTGTAGACTATACATTCTGATTTTGTTAGAGTATATATGATAGGACATAAATGTGCAACAGTAGTGTAGACTATACATTCTGATCTTGTAAGAGTTGTGGATGTAAATATAACAATGTAAAAGCAATTGTAATTTCTTCAATGCATTTATCAGCAGTTGATGGTCCATACATTTACGTAACAATCATCTGTTGTAGACATTTATCAGACATGTGATAAAAAACAAGTTGAGTTTTTAAACAAGTTTATCAGCTTTCTTAAACAAGTTTTTAAACAAGTTTATCCAGACATTTATCAGCTTTCTTAAACAAGTTTTTAACCGATACAGACTTTGATAGAACCGATTAAAATTACTTAGAATATTCAGAGAAGTCTTTTTACAGTATTTTAATCGATACAACTTGAGTTTAATCGGTTAAAACCACTTGGAGTTCAGGATGATCGATCGAATACAATTATGACCGATCGGAATCAGATATGATCGATCGAATTGAATTATGACCGATCGGAATCAGCTTATGATCGATCGAATTTAGTTATGACTGATCGTAACTATTTTAATCGATTAAATCTCGTTTCAATCGATTAAAACAACTTAGAAAATTTCTACACAAGCGTTTTAATCGATTAAAACTTATTTTTATCAGCTTAAAATAACTTGAAAAGTTTTACAAGAAAGTTGTGCAAGTATTTCAATCGATTGAATCACGAAATAATCGATTAAATCAACTTAGAAGATTTTTTGTAAAGTGTTTTAATTGATACAAACGTTGTCGTATCGCTTAAAACAAATCATGTTAAAGAATCAAGAACGTATTAATGGATTAAAAGAAGTTTTAACAGATTAAAACTGCACTTTTAACATATTAAAAGAATCTTTTAACAGATTAATTAAACCAAGCAGCTTTGAAAATCTTCTATAAAAACAGAGTTGCTTGAACTTTTTAAACACACATTGAATATCATCTTTTACACATCCTTGAGCAATCAATAAAGCAAACTTCAAGACTCTTTTCAAGAAAGATTCGCATCAGCTTTTGAGAAGTTCTTTGAAAATCTTTCTTGAGGCAACTTGTTTTCTTTTGAAGAATAAACACTTACAGCAGAATTGCGTAAACTGGTTTGAGCATTCTAGTTTCTTCTTTTTCATTTCTTTACATTCTTTTTGTATTGTTTGGTGCCTGGAATTTGGGCACTGGTTTCTCTCAGTAGCTGGAATTTGGTTGTAGAGGTTGTCAAGAACTGGAATTTGGTTCTTGGTAAAAGGTTAGGTGTTGGTGCCTGGAATTTGGGCACTCGGGTTCTCTCGCACTGGAATTTGGTTCTTGGTGAGAGGTTGTTTGCAGTGAACTGGAATTTGGTTCTTGTGGTAGATTAAGTGTAAGATTGTAAATCAGTAAAACATTTGATCTAGTGGAACCCAACTCGAATTTGGCTCGAGACTGGACGTAGCCCTGGTATTGGGTGAACCAAGATAAAACACTGGTGATATCTTTCTTAAACTTTCTCTATTTTAATTTTGTCACTGCATTTATATTGATTAATTGCTTTGTAATTCAAGAACAGATCTGGAATCTTAATTTTTGAATTAGATAATCTGTTATTTGCGAAAAACTTTTAAAGATCAATTCACCCCCTCTCTTGTCTTTTTCTAAAATTTAGATAGCGGTTATTTGGCCAACCGCTATCTGAACTATACATTATGATCGATTATTATCCAATTATAATCGATCAGTTTGACATATATGACTTTAGATAGCGGTTATTTGGCCAACCGCTATCTGAACTATACATTATGATCGATTATTATCCAATTATAATCGATCAGTTTTACATATATGACTTTAGATAGCGGTTATTTGGTCAACCGCTATCTAAACTATACATTATGATCGATTATTATCCAATTATAATCGATCAGTTTGACATATATGACTTTAGATAGCGGTTATTTGGTCAACCGCTATCTAAGGTCGCCTCGCGCTCAAGCGACAGTTGAACCTTTACCAAACGAAACCATCGCTTAAGCGACAAAACCTTCAATTGGTATGAATATTTGTGTATGAAGTAGATTAAACTGTTAATTTGGCATGAATATTTTTCAATTGGTGTGTTTGGATGTAGCAGAGAGTCATGTAATATTTTTTTGCACAAAAACCTGATAATTTGTTAGATTAATTTGTCAAATTTTGAATTGTTTTCTATAATTTTGTGAATATATAATTCTGTGAATATATAATTCTGTCAAATTCTTTGAATATAATTCTGTGAATATATAATGTCAAATTTACATTGATGTTTATATGTCTACAACAATTAAAATTCACAAGTCATTCATTATTACAATCCTTCAATTTCATGTTAACAAATTGTTCCACCATTTCGTTGTACACAAGACACTATATAATTGCATCCTGTCTTTTCTTTCTGGTGGCACTCGCACCAACAGGGTTGACATATGACCTGATGAAGAACATGACCTCTTGCCTTTGTCCTCGCCTGGCACTCGACAAAAGAAAAAGAGTGTCAAAGAGACTCGAGGATTATAATGAAACATCACTATAATGCCAGTTTAAATACAATTGGACAAATCCGTTATTAACAAAGTATTGGGTGTCAAGGACCTTTGGGGCTATCACCTCCTTCGTGGTCACAGCTTGGGTACTTGAAGAAGTCGCTTCTGAGTGGGTGCGCTTTGAGCTTTTTCTTTTGCCAGCCATGGTTTATGTTTACGACTATTGAGATAGTCAACAGTGAACAAAAACAGAGAACAGAGAATCTGTGAGTAATTAGAAAGCAAAGAATACATTAACCTCAATGGTTGTTGTATGCTTCTTCTTTACAATGCAAACGAAATCAAACAAGATGAACCATCAAATTAAAATTCAAAACCGTGATCAACAACCATATTAAACCCTAAACCAAATGAACAGAACCGAATATTTAAACATAGACGAACCAGAGCCGGGAGAGAACGAACGTTTCTTTTGCGTGCGCCGACGAGAGCGAGAGGAAGAACAGCTAGACGGAGAAGACAAGCGAGAGGAAGAACATATATTTCACTTTTTACCATTACATCCCCATTTTTACAATATTACATCTCTGTCCCCTACAATTTTATTAATCAAACCCTTATTTTTAACTAAATTTTTTTTCGCCCCAGTTGTCGAACGGATGTTTGTTTTCCGGTTGTCAAAGTATCGTTTTCCTTGAATTAAATATCCAATTGTTAGTGAAAAAGACTATTCTTAAGTCACCGGTCATTGCATGTGATGAATGGCTATGACTTAGTCCACACAGAATTGACTTCAAAAGTAGTTCCCAAGAGAAAAGTCTTACATAGTAAAAAATAAATCTTATAAAATAACGTCTTATAAACATTTGGTAGAAGCAACGCAGATGAAGATGGTTGTGAAAAGAAACATTTTTCGTACTTGTAACGTTCCACCCAAAAGCAAACAAAGTTACTTCTTTTTACCCACGCAAAAAGATCTGTGAGAAACAAATCTGCTAACAAGTAAATTTTTTGTCTTTTATAACTTGTTGGAAAAAAATGGCAAACCAACACTTTAGCCATCCCATTATTTAATAGCCTCTTCTACCATGTATGTGCAAAACCCACTAAGCACGTTGCGATCTAACAACATTCACGGATATTTCCAGTTGAACCTTTTCTCCAAGATAATAAAATGAAACATTTTCATTTATTTAGACGTAGAAATATTGTGTCTGATGTTGATTTTAACCCCACTTGGTTACCATATGTTAGTTGTACGTGGCATGTGAATCGAGTCCAAAAGAAATGCTTTTCTTTACTTTGATTTGTCGTTTATGTTACGCGTATTACAAAGGGTACAACCTTAATATGATTTGTAGTTGATGTTAAGCGTCCAGTGTAGAGTAGATGGACGTAATCAATAAGTTCCCTATCATGGTGGATTAGTGTCATTCTCATAGCATAAACTTAGATGCCAACTTCCAAGAACTAGAGAGCCCACGAGCCAATGTTCTATTGTTTTCCTTCTTGTGCTGTAGACTTTTAAATTATGTTTGAACCGTACTAAGGTGCAAACCTTTCATCTTATCTTAAAACACGTCTTGCTTGATTGGTGGGATGGTAGAAAAAAGATAACAACTAAATCGGCAAATGAACCAAGCATGGATGGATTGTATGCCTCTGGCAATGGACGTGTATATAAACTAACACATCACCAACCACTTGGGTGCATCCTTCTCCTAACCCGACAATGGATAGTGCTTGGAGATCCTCTCCCCAATTCCTCCTACTCCTTTGTTTTGCTTCATTTCTTCAACTATGTCACTCATCATCCCAACTAAAGGCAAAACCTCTCTCTCCTCATTACCATTCCCTATTAATCACATTATTTTGTTTGCTACTTTGATCCTTCTTTCCTATGCCTTTGCTTGGTTTTGAAATTCTTATGGTTCTTGTTATCAGTGGATTTGGTAGCTAATTCAGGAGAAGGGTATGTCTTATTTTTTATGACTTTATTCTGAATGCAGAGCTACATTGTCTACACTGGCAATATCATAAAGGATGAGGCTTCCATGTTGGCTCTTTATTCAAGCATGCTACAAGAAGTTGCTGACAGGTAAGACCATTATATCAGAATCAAAACAGTCTCAGACAGAACAAATTTTGAGTCTACGTTCCATATTCAATAAGAATATAAAAGTTGAGTAACATGTCGTGGTAATCTCTTATATAGATTACACTTATATCTTATTACTATTATCTTTCCATGATGAATTCCCTTCAAATTAGATGAACTCGAGGTAACGTATGAATGTGAATCTCGAATCCCTCTAGAAAAGACCAACACATAATCAATCAAAAGACTGAGAATAATCCCATTTAACGTTGTCCTCGTGATAGAAGCGAGATCGAATGCAACAAAAACAAAACTAAGCGTGTCTTGTTCAGATTTTGACTCAAATTATTACCTAACGACTTGATCAATTTGTTTAACACGATTCAAGAACTGAAAGAAGCTGTTTTGTTTTTGGTGCGTAAGAAAACTCAATTTTCTTATTTGATTAACAGTACCCGGCTGTTGTATACCGTCTCGTCAAACAGTAACCAATATGGTCATTATATTGTTGTTTTTGTTATTGCATCAGTAGTCTGTCTCCTTCTTGATGACATATTCAATAAATACTATTTGTAGAACTGAATCACACCATCCTCAGTTGGCAAGCGTTATTTTTTCCTTGTAAAGCTTTGTTTGGTAGGAAAAGTGTTTCAGAAAGTAAAAGAATGAGGCAAAAGAGGAAAACCACCTATCATTTTTCTCCTTGTTTTTGCATCAACAAAAGGAAAGCTGAGAAGTAGCTATTTCTATTGTGTCATTATTTGAAGAGACTTAGCTTCTTTATTGTGTCTTCTTTCTTGACTTATACTCACAATTTCAGCAATACTGAGCCCAAGTCAGTGCAGCGGTACTACAAACGAAGTTTCAGTGGCTTTGTTGCTAAGCTTACGGAGGAGGAAGCCAATAGATTGGCTAGTATGAACAAAAACTATTTTATCTTCTATTCTCATCAAATTATATCTGTATTTTCTTCTAAGATTCAAGAATACTCTCAATGCAGGACATGATAGAGTGGTAGCTGTCTTTCCTAATGAAAAGAAGCAACTCCATACAACAAGGTCATGGGATTTTATTGGCTTTCCACTACAAGTAGATAGAGCAACAGCTGAGAGTGATGTCATCATTGGAGTGCTTGACTCTGGAATCTGGCCAAACTCTGAGACCTTCAATGACAAAGGATTCGGTCCACCACCTAGTAAATGGAAGGGCACCTGCCAAAGTTCTACGAATTTCACATGCAATAAGTATGCACTTAATTTTGTAGTCAAGTCCACGTACATACTTACACATAATTACACGTAGATGATAACACTCAAAATATTCAGAGTCACACAAAAATGTAGACTAGTATTTACACATGTTGTTATGTTCTTGTAGTAAAATCATTGGGGCTAAGATTTACAAAGCTGATGGACTCTTTACCCCGGACGATCCAAAATCTCCATTAGATTTAGAGGGTCATGGCACTCATACAGCATCAATAGCAGCTGGGAATCCAGTTAGTCCAGCTAGCATGTTAGGCCTTGCTCAGGGAACAGCAAGAGGTGGCGCGATAAAAGCACGCATTGCTGTGTACAAAGTGTGTTGGTTATTTGACGGTTGTTCTGATGCAGACATACTCGCAGCATTTGATGATGCAATTGCAGATGGGGTTGACATAATATCAGTTTCTATTGGAGGTTTCAATGATCAAAATTACTTTAGAGATTCAATTGCCATTGGAGCATTTCATGCTGTGCGAAATGGAGTATTGACAGTAACTTCAGCAGGGAACAGTGGTCCAAAATATTCCTCCCTGTCCAATTTTTCGCCTTGGTCAATTACTGTGGCTGCCAGTAACATAGACAGGAAGTTTGTTACCAAGGTTGAACTGGGTAACAACGTTACCTATGAGGTACATTACCTACTCTATTCTGTACTATAGATCATGCTTCATAGGTGGACTCTGGCTTTAAATTTGATGAAATATATTATATGAACTATCAGTGTAAAAGTCTTTTATACTATCAATCAACAGGAGATTCGTTTTCTTATGACTTTTAATAGTTATTATAAAAGTTAAATAGATATATCCACTAGATCTTCTTGAGTTCGTGTTATAAAAAGTTAAGTAATTATCTGATTTTAGTCTAAAATTTATTCATTATTTAATATATTTATAATTTTATTCTCTTAAAAAAATTTAAATTTTGTAATTAATTTATGATTTTGATTTTTAAATTTAATAATTATTTAATATATTTATTTATATTTTTATAATTTTATTTTTTCACTATTTTATTTTTTTATATGTATTTATTATTTATTAATAATATATCATTTAATCCTCAAAATTAAGGGACATGTATACACTCATGCATATATTATTTACTTAATAAATTGTTACATCACAAAGAATTCAATTTCTTCGTTCCATGTTTAGGGTACCTCGATAAATACATTTGACCTCAAGGGGGAGTTGTATCCAATAATCTATGGTGGAGATGCACCAAGCAAAGGCTTCGATTCATCGACATCAAGGTAATAATTCCTGATATGCTTTAAGATGTATAACGTTATGGCCAAAAAAACAAGTACAATAGTCGTACGAGTTCCAAACCACGTTCTAAAATTAAATACTCTGTTGTTAATGAAAATGCTTCCGAATTGCAGGTTTTGCTTCAGCGGTTCGTTGGACGAAAAATTAGTTGAGGGTAAAATTGTTCTCTGTGAGACCAGAAACAAAGCGATAGGTCCTTTCGATGCCGGTGCTGTTGGGGCATTGATACAAGGTCAAAGTACTCGAGATATTCCTCCTTCTCTTCCATTACCTGGATCTTACCTTGGTTTGAGGGATGGTGCCTCTGTACTTGACTACATAAACTCTACTAGGTATCAACTGAAGATGCCACTTTCATTAACAAGCTTATAGAAAGCCATACTTGTCTAATGCGGATATTTTTGCAGGACTCCAACTGCAACCATATTTAAGACTGATGAGACAAAGGATACAATAGCCCCTGTTGTGCCCTCTTTCTCTTCAAGGGGTCCAAACATTGTTACACCTGAAGTGCTCAAGGTAACTTAGCTATTCCATGACTGACTTAAATTATTTTTTTATCTAGTATTCTGGAAAAACTATTATATGCTTATAGATCATCATGTATCAATAGTCCTGGTCAATCTCCACATAACATGTGATCAATTTTTTCAATTTTTGAGAAAAAAGTTCATAGAACACAGCGACATGTAACCGAAACTATACACAGGTGATGGTTTGGACCATACACTAATTTCTCAGTATTCGAATGAATTTCTCTTTTAAATCATCTTTTTCCTTTGTACATTTTGTAGCCGGATTTAGTGGCTCCTGGAGTTGCCATTCTAGCTAGTTGGTCTCCAGTTTCCCCTCCTTCTGATGTTGAAGGTGACAATAGAACATTAAATTTCAATATTATCTCCGGAACATCAATGTCTTGTCCACATGTTTCTGGGGCAGCAGCATATGTTAAGTCATTCCACCCAACATGGTCTCCTGCTGCTATTCGTTCAGCTCTAATGACAACAGGTAATACCAGAAATGAGATGAGGATGACATTTATCCACTAGTGTTGGAATTTGGAACTATACTTTCAGCTAACTGTCTTCTTTGTGCTTCATGCAGCTAAAGAACTTAGTCCCACGATTAACCTTCATGCAGAATTCGCATATGGCGCAGGCCAAATTGATCCTTCCAAGGCTGTGCACCCGGGTTTAGTATATGATGCTGGTGAAATAGACTATGTAAGGTTTTTATGCGGACAAGGCTATAGTACAAGGGCTTTACAACTCATCACAGGAGATAACAGTAGCTGCTCTGAAACAAGTTCAGCAAGGGATCTAAACTATGCTTCATTTGCACTTTTTGCCCCACCTTCCAACTCCAATGCAGTAAGTGGCAGTTTTAACAGAACTGTTACAAATGTTGGATCAGCAACGTCCACGTATGAAGCTAAGGTGATTGCTCCTGAAGGACTAAAAATTGAAGTGAACCCTAGTATTCTATCATTTACTTCTCTTAACCAAAAGCGCACATTTGTGCTCACAATTGAGGGAACAATAGAAGAACCCGTAGTGTCAGCCTCTTTGACTTGGAGTGATGGTAAAGTCCAAGTGAGGAGCCCCATTGTTGTGTTTAACAATGCTTAAAGGCCAAGGTTAATGCATTAAATAACTAGAAGCAAAAGCATAAGGCATTTGCAGGTTTATCATATATAATTATAGTAAACAGCCAAAAATGGCTGATCTCATTTGGTTCATTATGTAATATTGCAAGTATTCTAGTGGCAATAATTGAGTGGGGCATTAAAGTTTTTACCTTTTAGTCAATTTATATTCACACCTTGATGGAGATATAAGGTTCGTTTGGTGTTCAAATTGAAATAAGTAATGGGTTTGAGTGCCAATGAATCATATTAATAATTAATATGTATGGATGGCAAAGAATTATTCATATTAATATCATTTAAAAAATATAAAATCATTATTTTAATATACAATTGAATTAAATATTCAGGGAAAGAGTTATGTGGGTGGTAGTAATTTTATCTCCCTCTAAGCTCCACGGAAGATATACGTGGCCTTAAAAATCCAAACTCAACCTATTAATTGTCGACCCACTTTTACAAGGTTTATCACTTTTTGTCTTAATTGTCGAACCACGATTCTATGGTCTATTGGGCCATAAATAGGCCCAGAACATATAGACAAATTGTCCTATCCATCTTAAATTTTAGGGAGTGATATAATTTCTTTTAATCCCATTTTATTTTCTGTTTTAACAACATGATAATACAGGACCTTGATATTGATAATGTAAGTGTTTTTTTTAATATATGATATTTTTATACAAAAAAAATTTAAAATATATATTATTTATAAAATTTAAAATTGTATTATTCTTTTAATTGTATTTATTATAGAGATATAAGATAACAAATGATTAAAAGTTATTTTAGATAAAAAAATATTAAAATGATAAGAATATTAATAAAAATAGACTAATAGAGAAAATATATTACATAAATCAATAATGTTTGGGATGATAATTATTCTTATTCATTTCAGTTTTTTTTTAAATAAAAATAATTTTTTTTTTCAACTTCTTGCTGTATATTTGGGAGAGTAATTAAAATTTGTAAAAAAAAAATCTCAAAAAATACTCTATTTTTATGATTTTAATAAATTTTTAATTTATACTATAAATTTACTAACCGCTTTTTACTTTTCCAACTTCGTGCTGTTTTTGTTTTTATGCAAAAACTATATTTGTCCTTCTAAACGAAATTAATAATTTTAAAATCATTTTTCAACCAGCTTATCCAAACAAAACAAAATTTAATTATAATGTGGGATAGATATAATTATTGCTGAAATAATGTAATTTTTACGGTTATCCTAAACACTCACTAATAGTTTTATTTAGTTTTGGAAAAAGATATTTAGTAAAATTGTTTTCTTAGTCTCCAAAACAAAAACATGTGGGAGATGGTGAATCTTTCTTAATAAGTGTTCTATATTTGAATTACGTAAAAACTATGTTCATTCCAACATAAAAACCTAACCTACATACCCTTTCTATAGTGCTTTTTATCTTAACCAGTCGTTTCAAGTGTTCTCTAACGTTTTCAAGGAATTGAAGAAGAGAGCATCCACTACGAGGAACATATTCTTTACCCACTTGGTTAATACCAACCTTTTTATTTTATTTTTTCACTCTAAAACTAAAGTGTGATAGAATTTTTTAGTTGAGAAGAATTTGATTCTCCAGAAATAAATTAAAAACAGCACTTCTTCAAATACTTTTCTACCTCTCCAAGGAAAATTTTATAAAAAAATGAGACTAAAAATTTGGTATTGACTAATAGGTCATCCATGATCTCAAGGTAAATTGTATCATAATTACATACATATCAGTCAACAATGTGTATGAAAACTCATGAATTGGTTGGCATGTGTCTCTATCTAATGATTTCTTTTTCCACACGTTTTGTTAATTAGTCCACCCCGTTCCTTGGAGAAGCAAAGCAGAAGGAAAAGGGCATGGAAAAGAAATTCACGTTGAATTTCATTGCATGCATATTCTAAACCCTAAACCAGGGCTCAACCATCCCATGACACTCATCCAATAATTCCACCAATGTTTATATATATGCATTATATGTTAGAAGCCTTTTGTTTATTTACTTCAAATTTACGCCATTTTATTAAATAACATAAATTTCTCAGCCTTGTAATCATAAAAACATAAAAATAAAAGTAACTGTTTCCATGAATAAAAAGTCAAAATGTAAAGTGCTTATACACTAAAAATGATTGTAAATTCTAGTGGAAAAAGAATATCAATTTTTAATATATTTTTCTTATTGTTATTGTCTAGTAAAAAATTAAATTGTGATTTAAACCATGTTAATTAATAATATTATCAATAATAAAAGTTATAATTTATATTAGAGTTGTTAAAACGAAATAGTGCAATTTAATCTAATTTGATACGGGACAAGTTAAAAGATTTGATAGTTTAATCTGATCTATATTTTAAAACAGGTTATAACTTTTAGTTTAGTCTAATTTATGTTAGGGCAACAAATTAATAAGTCAATTTTGACCTAATTTAAAATTAAAAAAAATATTAACATATATATATAGTTGGAAATTAACACTATTAATTAGAATAATTTAATTATGATAGGATTTAATGATAATATAATCAGTTTTATTTTGTTATTTATGTATACAACATTTACAGGAAGAATATTTCCCTAATTTTTAGGGATAAATTATGTATAGGTTTATTATCTTGTATTCTATTTACACATTCTTTGTATCTTTTCCAAAATAAGAAATACATAACGTAGTTTCCGCACCAAAAAAATTTATTAAAAAAGTATTTAAATAAAAATATATTTTAAAATTTAAATTATATCAATAAAATTAATTTTTATTTAAGATATAATAAATTAATATTTAAATTACAAGAGAGTACATTTATATTCAATCTCAAACTAAGAATTAAGATCTTCCTCTTTATCACCATAATTTATTTTTTAATAATTTATTAATCTAAAATAATAATTAATCTTAATCATTAGAGATTGAAATAAGTAGGAGTGTTAAAATAGGTTTAACTAGATAGGCTAACCTGAAAAATAGGTCAAACTAGGTCAATAAATTTGTAACCTAAATTTATTTATGTCATGGCCTGTATGGGCTTAAGTAATAACCCATAGGTTTATGAATTGATCTGTTTTATAAAATAATTATTATATAAGAAAAATAAAAATAATATTATTTTATTAAAAAATATATATGTATTATAATTTGAGAGAGATTTACTAATTTTATGAGTAAATATCATAATAAATCTTTAATAGTCACTTATTTCAAAATATAATTATTAATATTATATACTATTTTAAATTAATAAGCTATTAAAAATAAATAATGATAATAAAAAATAATTTTTTAATTATTATTTTAAGATTAAATAGATGCATTTTGCTTATAATTTATATATTAAATCATTATATCTTAAACAAAAACTAATTTTATTAATAAAATTTGAAATTTCAAAATATATTTTTTTATTTTTATTTAAATATATTTTTAATTAATTGATTTTGTATCGATATGTTAATGTTAAAAAAAAATTAATCAATCTAAAATTGGTCTATTAGCTCATTGGGTCAGGTTAGACTAAAATTATTGTTCATTTTAAAATATAAATTAAACTGGACCATCATTTTTTTTTTTTTACTTGTCCCATAAGGTCATATCAGGTTGGGTCGCCCATTTTGACATCTTTAAAATCAAGGATGGTCAAAAACTTATTTTGATATTTACTATTAAAACTTATCAAATTAATTTACAAACATATATATTTTTTAAAAAATAATATTATTTTTATTTATAAAATAATTATCATTTTATCAAATAAAAGGTTCCATAAATCTACATGTTAGTCTAACCTATATTTATGTAGGTCATGATTTAAATGAGTTTGGCTAAAATAAGTTTAATTCAATTTTTAAAATATAATTTTTTTAGTCTAATATAACTTATTTCTTGAATCTTTCCATTCGGACTATTGAATTAAGTTTGTTTCAACATGCTATGATTATTTTTTATTATAATTAACAACAAATTTTATAATTATTTTCACAAAATTAAATATCCAACGGTATTCAATATTATTAAATAGTATAAATTAAAAAAAAAAGTTACTGAAATTTCTATCAATCACGTAGTATAGTATAGTATAAAATCATATGGTATCTGCACGCTCTAATGTTTAAATTTCTTTAGAAAATTATATTCTAATTAAAGATAATCTACAATAGTTTAGTAAATTTGGCATTAGTTTACAGTGATAAAAGTTAATGGAGTAAAGTCAAGTGATTGAATTTTGTGAAAAGTGTAAAAAAAAAAACAATGAATGAAGCCTTATACTTATTGAGTCAAGAAAATTTAAATGATAGAAGGCACACTTCTGATTTCACACTGAATTGCGAAGATGGCGTTGTTTACGGGCAATTGTCATCTTGCGCAGGGTAGAAATAAAGAAGAAGAAGCAATAATTAATAAATAATAGGGGATTTACTGATTATCAATTTTACTCTTAATTCCAATAAGTAATGTGAAATTTGACCCACTCAGCTAATAAAAAAAATATTAAAATAATGAGTTATTGGATTAGAGATTAGATTGTTTGGTTCAGTATAGTCCGTTTATATTAAAGAAATTATTTATTTAACGTAATTAGACTAATTTACTTAAATTTAACATAAAAGTATACAATTAAAATGTAAAAATATAATTCATAATTGAATAATATAAATTCACAGATAATAAAGATTGAGCTAATAAAAAAATTATAGTATTTCTAAAATCTATCTATGTATAATACAATTCAACAAACAATACATTTATAAATTATTCTTTTACTTATTTATATGAGACAACATCTCTTACATTTGGATATCCGGTCTTCTCATTAAATTTTGTTATATATAGAGTATAAATTAGTTTTTAATCTAAAAATATTATATTTTATTATTTATATATAATATAAATTTTAAAATTATTTGGCATTTTTTTTTAAAATAAGTTTGTATGTATCGTCTTGAATACATCTTACACTTATTGGACAA